TTGGGGGAGGAGCTTGGATGCCCCCAAGTGCCCATTACCCTTCTGTGTTGGCCTGGTGTCCAGTTGAAGGAAGAAGGTCAAGCCCTTGTCTTTCCTCCGAGGGCAGCCTGTGTGCTCTTACAGGGTAGGGGCGCCCACCATGGGGAGCATGTGCTGTGTGCCAGGCACAGTGCTGAGGGCCCCACATGTCCTCCAGGGACTCATTGTCCCCGTGTCCCGAGGGCACAGCGGAAGGCAAGCAGCCTGCCAAGGTCACAGGCTGGTCAGAGGCAAGCCAGGGATTTGAACCCTGGTTTTCCAGGCTTCTGAGCCCAGGAACTTATTACCCCCCTCGCAGTATCACCCCTCTTGACCTGGCAGTGTGTCTCCCAGGATGTAATGCTGACTCAGCTGTCCCGCTGAGCCGGCAAGGGCGCCTGGGTCCATCCCGCCTGCTGAGGCCTGCCATTCACGCACTCAGGGGAACAGCATTTCTGGCACATCCTGAAGCGATTTCCTCCCTCCTCGTCCTTCCAGGTGGTTCCCGGCCCAGCCAGCCCTCCTGGGCATCACCTCCAGGCGATGGGCTTCTGGGTTAGGGGCACAGTAGTGCCGGTGGGGAAGAGGCAGGCTCTGCGGCCCCATCTCGGCCTCAGCCTCACCTTTCCTTTTTTTTTCCCCTGAGTGAATAAGGGGGAATTTATTTATTTATTTTATTCTTTGAGTTGGAGTCTCACTCTGTCGCCCAGACTGGAGTGCAGTGGCCACTCCCAGCCACCGCAGCCTCGACCTGCTGGGCTTCAGCGATCCTTCCGCCTCAGCCTTCCAAGTAGCTGGAACTACAGGCGTGTGCTACCATACCCAGCTAATTTTTTTTTTTTGTAGAGATGAGGTCTCGCCAAGTTGCCCAGGCGGGTCTTAAACCCACGGGCTCAGGCAATCCACTCACCTCAGCCTTCCAAAGCACAGGATTACAGGCTGAGCCACTGAGCCCGGCTTAAGTAGGAATTTATGAGAAGAAAGCCCTTGACAGCAGGGGGCTCCCGAAAGAGGGTTGCTCCAGCCTCATCTTTCTTTCTTTTTTTTACACATATCTTGGGAATGAAGAAGAAAAACCAAAGTTCCAGACAATTAGTCCCAAGACACGTGCTCAGTGCCGTGAGTGGCAGACTGGGTGTGGTCACCGGAGTCACAGGGTTGGAAAGTATTCGATGCAGTTACGAATTAAGGAAGGGGCAACCCCCTGGTGTCCCCTCCCACTCTGGGAGCTTTTCTGTCCTCTTGATACATCCTGCTTTCTTTAAAAAAAAATTAAGGCAGATTTATTAGAGGAAAGAAGGAAAGGTGTGTTGTGAAGGGCACAACAGGCAGGACAACAGCAAGAGTGACTGCTGCCGCAGCCTCGCTTTCCTTTTTTTTTTGAGTCAGAGTCTCACTCCGTCACCCAGGCTGGAGTGCAGTGACACACTCGTGGCCACACTAGCGTTGACCTGCTGGGCTCTGGGGATCCTTCCACCTCAGCCTTCCAAGTAGCTGGAACTACAGGTGCACGCTACCAAGCCCGGCTAACTTTTTATTTTTTATTGTAGAGATGAGGTCTTGCTAAGTTGCCCGGGCTGGACTCGAACCATGGGCTCAGGCAATCCACTTGCCTCGACCTCCCAAAGTGCTGGGATTACAGGCTGAGCCACCAAGCCCAGCCTGCCTCTCCTTTCAAAGCCTTGGTTCCTGACCCATGAAGTGAACCACTTGGGGTAGTTGCCGGGTCACCTTGTAGGACTGGGAGTGTGACGTGCACGGGCATCACGCCTTCTGGGATAAGCTCCCCAGTCCCCGCACTCACAGTATCGTGTGTGTTCCTTGCCAAGGGCCCCTCTGCCCGCCACAGCCCAGGAGTGCCTGTTATTGGAGAGCATTGTAACAGCAGTGCCGAGTGTTTGGAGAGCGGAGAGGAAACACATAGAGAGGGCGGCCTGGTCGGGGCGGCTGGGCACTCTGAGGCCCTGGGCAGGAGACCCTCAGTGCCCTTGAGGACAGTGGTGCTGCCGCTGCTGGAGAACCCAGGGCAGCTGCTCCCAGGCCAGATGGACAGTTCCACCTGCCGAGAGTCCTTCCTCCCCCTGTGAGAGGCCCACCATCGGCCACAGTATAGTCTCCAGCCCAGGTGACGCAGGCCAGTGTCGTCTGAGGCTGTCTCCAGCCCGGCCGCCCAGGCTCAAGCCCCATCTCCTGTGTAGGGTGCTTGGCCTTGGCAGCAGCTTGGGCTGATTCTCATTCCCTGGAAGTCATCCCAGGCAGCCTCCCAGGTTCCTTGATGGCATCTTCACACGTGGCCTTGAGGTCCTGCGGCACCTGCTGCTCTTCCCGCCCTGGGAGAACTGACCACAGCCCCCCAATGGCCCCACTGCCCGCAGCAGGGCAGCACCGAGAGGCCCCCGGGGCCACATTCCAGGCTGACTCATGGCAATCAGCACCTGCCGTGACATCCGAGGCTTTCTTGCACTGCCGGTGCTGAGTCCTGCTCTTCTGCCCACAGTTGTGGAAGCACAGAGTGCGGGCCCCCGAAGGCCAGCGGGCCGGACTGTGGCCAGGCGCCGACTGAACCGAGAACAGCTGGCCCTCGCCCTCACCATGCAGCCAGGCGCATGTCCCTGGTCTCCCCTAGAAGCCCCCTCTCTGGCCCGCAGCCGATGGGACTGGTGTCCCCTGGTCCCCGACACACGGTGTGGGCTCCTGCCTGTTGTCTCAGCTCGAGCTGCTCCCTTTACCTGGCACGTCTTCCCCTGCCTGGCCCCTGAGCCTGCCCCTGCAGTTCCAAGAGGCTTCCACGGCAGAGGCCGTGGGGGGCAGCCCTGCCCGCTGGGGTTGCCGCTGCTTGACTCCCCACCCTCGGCGACATGCCTCTGCCTGGCCTGGTTATTAGTCACTAGGCTCAAATCCGATGGGTTGGGGCTGCCATGAGGTTCCCCGTCCCTCCCTTGGACCGCCTGACTGGCTGTCACTTCCCGCTGAATATAATTGCCGAGTTGATGTGGCTCATTGCCCGTACTCCTGACCGCTGGGACGGTGGCATTCCTGGGGGACAGCAGTGACAGGCTTGTGTAGAGGCCTCCCAACTGCCCAAGAGTCCCTGGAGCAGAGGAACTGGGTCCCGCTCCGTGTCCCCAGGGCCTGGCACTCTATGGAGTCAGTGAGAGAACGACTGCTGGGTAGAGAGGTGGAGTTTCTGGGAGGTGAAGAACTGATGAGGGTGTTCTCTGGGACCTCGCCTGCCCTGTTGGGGAGGCTGGGGTTGAACTGGCGTCAGGGTGCCCAACGGGCACGGCAGCCCTGGGCAGAGCTCAGTGGAGAGGCACTGGGACGAGGCAGAGCGTCCTGCAGTACCCGCTGTGCCATCTGGGACAGCCACGTGCCCTCTCTGGCATCTCTGACTGAGAGCAGGAGGGCGCGTGCTTCGTGGAGCCCCTGGAATCACTGCAATTGCAGCTGCTGCAGATGTGATGCAAAGGTCGTGCCCCATCCACCAACTTCCGCTTGTCTCCTCTTCAGAGAAAGCGCCAGAAGCTGAAGCCTCCGGGAGAGGCTGAAGAGGAGGAGCTAGAGATGCCCCCTCAGTACCAAGGTGACACCCTGGGCATCAGGCAGGGGTTGCAGGAGGGGGTGGGATGAGGGTGTGCGGCCTGGCTGCATTCAGTTGGCGCCAGCAGGGGTTGGCTGATACGATATCCCAGACTGGCCCGGGGGTGAGGAAGGGCCTGAGGGTCAGGACACCTGGGCGTGGTGCCCCACCTTCTGGGGCGCCCCAGCCGCTGCTCCCCGGCCCCGGCCTCCCACGAGGCTTGCAGCCCTCCCCTCCTCCCTGGGAGCTCTGCCTCTCGGGCTCCCCCAAAAGCTCCAGCCCTGGGTCAGGCTGGTGTGGAGACGCCGCAGGGTTGGCGTGGAGGGGCAGGGGGGAGGGTGTCCTCGGCCTGGCCGAGGGCTGCTCTTCCTCTGCCTTGGCCCCAGGCTGCTGCCTCCCTAGAGCAGCTGCTGGAAGCCCACGGCGGCTTCGCTGTGCCTCCTTCCTCCCTGGGCAGCCTCTCAGGCCTTTGCCCCAGCCCTGGGGCCCAGTCCTAGCTTGGCCTGCGGAGGGCGGGGCTTGTGGGAGGCCGCTTCCCCGAGCGGGCGTGTCCTCGGGGCCCCAGGGCTCCGATGGCTGGAGGACCTCGCGCTCTTCCTCCACGGGCCCCGCCCACCCCCGGGCCTGAGACGTGGCGCCGAGGCAGTGGGGCCCAGCCGCCTCTCGGCTGCGTGGCCTCTCTGTGGCTCTAGTTTCTTCCCCGTAAGAGGAGCTTCGTGCCGGTCACCTCAGAGCCTCCCTGAGTTAGCATTGTAGGATTGCGTCCGTACCACGACGTGCTGAAGTCAGGCTGAGCGGACAGCTGACCAGGGACAAGGACCCTGATCGCTAAGCCACGGTTTTCACATCTACACAATGGGATCAGCTGACCTGTCTCCCAGTGTGGTGTGAAGCCCAAATGAGACGAGGGTGGGGGCCTGAGACACCTCATTTCTCGGAGGAGGTGGAGGCTGGCCTGGGCTCAGAGCTTAGGAGGCAAAGCTGGGAGCTGACCCGGCTGTCCGTCTGAATCCTGACTTCGAAGCCCACGACCTTCAGGACAGATGGAGTGGGTTTTACTGGAGGGCGTGGCTCCTTGGTGTGAGGGGAGCCTGGGCGGTCCGAGGCTTCTGAGCTCCCGGGTCATTCCGAGGAGCCCGTGGCTGTCCCCTCACTGGGCGGTCCCTCCTCGAGGAAGGTCTGTCCTTGCTTGACAGGATAAGCCTTTCCTCCTCTGCTCCCTGGCGGCCGAGAGAGGATGCCCTGGCCTCCTCCCGGGAGCAGGCGGCCGGGCCTCCTGACTCAGTCTCCACTCCCTACAGCTGGAGGCTCCGGCATCCACCGCCCCATGGCCAAGAAGGTTGCGCCTGGGGCTGAATACAAGGCCAAGGTGAGAGCTGCACGGGGGAGTGGGGTCTCCCGCTTTGGGTGGCAGGGAGGGCGGGCAGCGGTGCCCACCATGCCCTGGGGCGCCTTCGCAGAGCTGGTGGCTGAGGCCAGGGGAGGAGGGCGCACTGCGGGCCGGGTGGCATCTGGAGGGAAGGGCCTCGGGAGGGCTGTGGGTCCAGGGCTCTGTCCGAAGTGGAGGATGGGGGAGGGAGGAGACGGGCCTGGCGGGGTGGGGCGGGCCGGAGTGGGTGGCCACGCTCGAGCTGACGCCGTCTCCCTGGACAAGCAGAAGGCAAGAGGTGACATGAAGAAGAAAGGCCGCCTCGACCCGTACGCCTACATCCCCCTCACCCGAGTCAAGCTCAACCGCAGGTGCGGGCTGGGATGGGAGCTCAGCGCTCTAAAGAAGGGAGGCCGAGGCGGGAGGATTGCTGGAGGCCAGGGGTTCGAGGCCAGCCTGGGTAACACAGTGAGACGGTCCATCTCCACAGAAAAATGATAAATTGACCAGATGTGGTGGCATGCACCTGTAGGCCCAGCTACTTCATGGGAGGCTGAGGCGGAGGACTGCCTGAGCCCAGGAGGTTGAGGCTGCAGTGAATCATGATCATGCCACTACACTCCAGCCTGGGTGACAGAATAAAACCCTGTCTCTGAAAAATAAAAGATAAATTTGATAAAAAGAAGGGAAAACTCCCCCTACCTTGGGGAGGTGAATTAATCTCTCTCTCCCTTATTTATTTTCTAAATAAACTATGTTTTCCAATCCAAAAAAAAGAGGGAAGGCCTTATTCTCATGACCCCATGAACTCAGTTGCTTGAGCCTCTTCCAGATTTTTATTTTTACTCTTTGATGTGCACCCGCGTGTAGTTGGTGCCTGTTACTGCCGAGAGCTGCTGCGTTAAACACGACCTACCATAAGATGCAGTTTGCTTTCCTTACCCCTTGTTGGTGGGCAGTTAGGGTTGCTTCTGACTTTGGCCATGAAGGTGGGGCTCTCGGGTAAGCATGAGGCCCTGTGAGACACAGTGGGAGTGCTGCGGGGCAGATTCCTGGGGAGCCGGGTTCTAAGCTTCAGTCACCCTGTCGCTTCCGCTGAGTCTCTTTCTGTCGCTGGAAGGGTGGGTGGATCAGGTGAGCACTGACCTTCTCTGTCCGTGCGTTAGAGGATGAGCTTCGGAAGGGAGGCCCATGCTCAGGGGAGGGCTGGGCCAGAGTGGTGCAGCCAGGTCAGCCTCCTGTGGGAAGCCCCCCTGCCCCATCCTGCTGGTGCTGGTGTGAAGAGGGGGCCACTGTTCTCAGCGAGAGGTGACCCTCCTGTGCCTTGTCCCTCCAGGAAGAAGATGAAGCTGCAGGGACAGTTCCAAGGCCTGGTGAAGGCTGCCCAGCAAGGGTCCCGGGTGGGACACAAGCTCCGCAGAAAGGACCACCAGCCCTGAGGTCCTTCTGGGCCTTGGCATCGGCACCAGGGCTCGGGGCTCTGGCGGGTCTGGGCTCGGGGGGCTGTCAGAGCTGGGCCTGGCTCTCAGAGATGCGCCCCAGTTTCGGAAGCTCCGAGTGGGAACCGCCCTTTGGAGACGTCCCTGGGCGCCGAGGTGGGACTGAGGCTCACGGCCTCTGAGGAGGCCCAGTGGGGGGCCTGGCCTCGGCCCAGATTGGCCGTGAGCAACCGTGGGCAATCTTCGTCTCCTCCAGCCGCCTGGAGCCACGTGGCACCCTCAGCCTGGCCGCGGGTATGTGAGATGTGCCGTGAGCAGACTTAGAATAAATGCGTGTCCCCTGCACTGTCCCAGAAGCGCTGTGCTTCGTAGCCGGTGGGTCAGGCTCTGGACTTGCCCGGGCCCGCCTGCCCACGTCAGGAGGGCTGCCCGGCCTCATGTGCCGTCCGGGTCGGAAGATGACCCTCGGGGCCGGAAGGGCAGCAGATGCCCGGGTTGCTCCCGAGCGGCGTCTGTGGCTGCACACTGGGGACCCAGGAGAGAAAGAGGCGGCAGCTGGCAGGGCGGGATGGCGGTTCCAACCGCAGCAGGGGCTGCCGGGCCGCCGTGGGCGCAGGGCTCAGCCAGCTCCTCTGTTCGGCGATTCCACAGAGCACTTGGTGACCCCTCCCGGAGCCCGGCCAGCCCGAGTCGGTCGCCTCCCGTCCCCAGTCCTCCTCCCAGCTGCGACATCTTGTGGTGCAGTGGGATCCCTGGTCTGCCCTGTGGGTCTGCGGCAGAGAAGGGAGCAGCGCTGACCTCGAGGTCCCGAGGCCACTCGTCCCCTCAGCCCAGCACCCTCCTGTGAGTGCCTGCCCGGCAGCTGATGACGTGCTGTCCCTGCAGGAGGCGAGAACACACGCCTCCAGCGCCCTCTCCCGTAAACGCCGGCCTGGCCCCGCCCTGTCACCCACGCACCCGGCCATCTGGTGCAATGCTGTCCCGCTCATTCTCAGAGGGGCGCAGGCCTTGGCGACCAGCACCCCTCGGGAGGGCGTCTTCTCCCTGTAGCTGTGGGCTCGGAAGCTGGGAGGAGCCATGCAGCCCAGAGGCGACGCTGTTCCCACGCCTTGTTCACAAAAATCAACCTGGGCCGAGGACGGCAGTCGGAAGTGGCTGGGGCAGATGGGCTGACAGGATCTAACCAAGACTCGTCTTTCTTTAAGATGGAGTAGCTGGCATCCAGCTGAGTAGCCCTTCAGATTCTGATGCCAAGCCTTTTTTGTTTTTGAGTCAGAGTCCCACTCTGTCACCCAGGCTGGAGTGCAGTAGCACGCTGATGGGCACTGCAGCCTCAGCCTGCTGGGCTCAGGCGGTTCTTCCGCTTCAACCTTCCAAGAAGCTGGACTACAGGCATGTGCCACTGCACAGCTGATTTTTCTTATTTTTTGTAGAGATGAGGTCTCGCCAAGTTGCCCTGGCTGGTCTTGAAGCCCTGAGCTCAGGCAGTCCTCTCACCTCCACCTCCTAAAGTGCTGGGATTCCTATTATGACGCTTCTGGACACAAGGAGGAGTCACAGACAGCCCAGCCTTTTCCTAGTTCTTTTCCCAGGCAGGGGCACCCCAGCCGAGGAATCTGCATGGAAATAGATGCGGGCAGAGCCAGCTGGTGGCCTTGGTGTCCACCAGAAAGCCTGTCACCAGCCTGCGTATGCAACACGATGTCCAAAGAGCTGTTTCTTTTTAAAATGGGAGGGGCAGGTGTCCCAGCCATGTCTATGTTGGTGATGTGCTGGGCGCCGAACGGCTGGACCCTCCCTCTGTGGTGTCTTCCAGGCCTGCTCTCAAGAAGGCTCCTGCTTCTTCCTAAGCAGGCTCGGCTGTATTGGACATCAAGGCCAGTTCTTCAGGCCTCGCCAGAGAGTCATCCTGTCCCCTCTGGGGCCTGTGCGTCCAGATAGCTAAGTCTCTCCTCTGGTGTGGACTTGCAGGGTATCATTTCCGGAGGGCAGCCTGATTTCTAGGTTCCGGGAGCGTCGTATGGTAGACCCAAAGGTTCCGATGCCAGAGCTGACCGTGTGGCATGAGGGTCTGGAGAGGACCCACTCCCCGTGACAGGCGGGTGTGTCTGTGCCTGCTGCCAGGGACGGCCTGTGAGCCCTGTGGCTCCCAGGCCCCTCAAGCTCCTGGAAAGGACTGCTGGGCCTTGGATCTTGGACCTGGGCCCTGAGGCCTGGGTTGCACATGCTAGACCCCTGGAGGCCAGCCCTCGGTTGTAAATATGGTCATGAAAGTGGCCCAGCACGGTCCTGCCCCGAGCAGACCCGATGCAGCTCTCGCCTGGTGGATCCATGCACGATAATGCTTATCTGAGCCGGGTTCGGTGGCTCAGCCTGTAATCCCGCACTTTGGGAGGCCAAGGTGAGTAGATTGCCTGAGCCGGTGGGTTCGAGACCCGCCTGGGCAACTTGGGGAGACCTCATCTCTATAATAAATCAAAAAAATTAGCCGGGCGTGGTAGCGCGCACCTGTAGTTCCGGCTACTTGGAAGGCTGAGGTGAAAGGATCACCAGAGCCCAGCAGGTCGAGGCTGCGGTGACCGAGAGTGGTCATTGCACTTCAGTTTGGGTGACAGAGTGAGACTCCAACTCAAAAAAAAACTAAAAAACAAAAAACTACTAACCGGGTACGGTGGTTCACACTTGTAATCTCAGCACTTTGGGAGGCCAAGGTGAGAGGATTGTCTGAGACCATGGGTTTGAGACCAGCCTGGGCAACTTGGCAAGACCTCATGTCCACAATAAATGAAAAAATTTGCTGGGTGTGGTGGTGCACACCTGTAGTCCCAGTTACTTGGAAGGCTGAGGCAGAAGGATCGCTGGAGCCCAACAGGTCGAGGCTGCGGTGGCCGGGAGCGGCCACTGCACTCCAGTCTGGGCAACAGAGGGAGACAAAATGCTTATCTGCAGATGCTTGCCTCCACCGTTCCCATGGCCAGCTCAACTTCCTGCGATCGCTGGGCACTGGGGCACGCCTCCAAGGCAAACATTCATGACAACCCGGCATGTGGTATCCTAAGAAAGTTCCTTCCTGCCCACGTGGGACACGCAGGTCCCCTTCCACGGGACCTCACACGGGGACCTGGCACGGTCACACGCGCAGTCTATCAGCCAGGTCTGAGTCTCCAGCACAGAGGGCTTGCCAGAGACCAGGGCTTGCCAAGTTGCCCAGGCTGGTCTCTGGTGTACCAGAGGTTCCCACACCCTCCACCTGTGGGTCCCGGCGACAGTCACATCATAGCTTTGGTTTTTATGTCCTGGTTCCCACTTGCAGAGTTACACGGACAGCGCAGGTAGCACCCAGCCTGCGGGTTCCAGCCCAGGCCACTGCCACCTGCCTAGCTCAGCTGTGGACTTGCACGGTGCTGCCCAGAGGCATGGGAACCGCTGGGTGCCCCGTGAGGTCAGGACATGGCCCGTCTCCTTTCTCGTTACCTGCAGGCTCCTGTTTCCAAAGCCATGATCTCTGGGACAGACACCTGTTCTAGGTGAGAGGAGGTGGCCCCGGGCCAGGGATAGGGCACTCCTTCAAGGAGGGGACGGAACTGGTCCACAAGTCTTTCTTTCCATCTCCCTCCCTCCACCCCTCCCCTTTCGTTGTGCATTTCTTTTTTTTTTTTTTGAGTGGGAGTCTCACTCTGTCGCCCAGACTGGAGTGCAGTGCCACATTCATGGCCACTACAGCCTCGAACTGCTGGGCTCAAGCGATTCTTCTGCCTCAACCTTCCAAGTAGCTGGGACTACAGGTGTGCACCACCACACCCAGCTAACTTTTTTATTTATTGTAGAGACAAGGCCTCACCAAGTTGCCCAGGCTGGTCTCGACCCATGGGCTCAGGCAATCCTCTTACCTCAGCCCCCCAAAGTGCTGGGATTATACACCCGAGAGTCTGGCCACTTAGTCATTTTCTTTCTTTTTTTTTTTTTTGAGTCGGAGTCTTACTCCGTCGCCCAGACTGGAGTGCAGTGGCCGCTCCGGCCACCTCAGCCTCGACTTGCTGGGCTCCGGCGATCCTTCCGCCTCAGCCTTCCCAGTAGCCGGAATTACAGGCATGCACTACCACGCCTGGCTAATTTTTTGATTAATTGTAGAGATGGGGGTCTCGCCTGCCCAGGCAGGTCTTGAACCCGCGGGCTCAGGCAATCCACTCACTTCAGCCTCCCAAAGGCGCAGGATTACAGGCTGAGCCACCGAGCCCTGCTCACTTAGTCATTTTCTTAAAAACAATTCCTTTCCCCTCAGGCACTGACAGTATCTACTTCCCCAACCCAGTCCTTAGCACAAAGGAAAGAAGTGTACCCAGAGGGAGTTCTGGGAGGAGAAGAATGACCTGAGTGCTTGACCAGGCAGGCCCATGTGGTACCCTGGCAACTGCGGACCAGTGGTGGCGTCTGTGTGGAGGGAAGACAACAGCCCAGCTCCCCTCAGCCAGAAACAACGTGTGTAACTGGAGCGAGGGGATCAGCAATCCGGGACTTTCACTGTGCTATTTTCACTTTCACTGTGCTCTTTTCTTTTTTTTTTGAGTTGGAGTCTCACATGTCTCCCAGGCTGGGGTGGGGTGGCATGCTCATGGCCACCGCAGCCTCGACCTCCTGGGCTCAGGAGATCCTTCCACCTCAACCTTCCAAGAAGCTGGGACTACAGGCACGCGCCACCATACCTTGCCAATTTACTTGATTTATTAAAGGGATGAGGTCTCACCAATTGCCCAAGGTGGTCTCGAACCCATAGGCTCAGGCAATCCTCTCACCTCGGCCTCCCAAAGCATTGGAATGACAGGTGTGAGCTACTATGCCTGGCAAGAATTGTTTTTTAATTGAGGTGAAATTCATGTAACATAAAAATAAGCCACTGAGTGCCGGGCTCGGTGGCTCAGCCTGTAATCCCATGCCTTTGGGAGGCTGAGGTGAGTGGATTGCCTGAGCCCGCGGGTTCGAGACCCGCCTGGGCAGCGAGACCTCATCTCTACAATAAATCAAAAAATCAACCGGGCGTGGTAGCGCGCACCTGTAGTTCCGGCTACTCGGAAGGCTGAGGCGGAAGGATCGCCGGAGCCCATCAGGTCGAGGCTGCGGTGGTCGGGAGCGGCCACTGCACTCCAGTCTGGGCGACAAAGTGAGACTCCAACTCAAAAAAAAAAAAAAAATTCACTGTATGTACGTATGTATGTATGCATGCATGTATTTATTTATTTCAGAGTCAAGGTTTTATTATTTTGTCCAGGCTGGTCTCGAACTGCTGGGTTCAAGGGATCCTCTCACCTCAGTGTCCCGAGTAGCGGGGACTCTAGGCACACACTAGTGTCCT